TGCGGTGATCACCAGCCTTGTAGCGCCCACGGGCCCTTCGGTAAGCTGAAAGGCATCCCATAGGGACCCACCTTTATTTTCACACTCTCCATATTTTGTCTCAAGCCGCATTCCACTTGGTGCGTGTCCACTTGGCACGCGTGCCGCTTGGTGCACCTTCCGGTTGTCTCTGTTCCACCCGCCTGGCGCCCGTCGCGTCCATGGTGGCAAAGTTGACGTGGGCCGAGCGTTCGCTCACCTTGAAACGCAAGGCTGGCGTCGTCAAGCAAGGCCCCGTCCCGAGACAGCTCAACCAGGTGGACAGGAACGCATGGAATCAAAACTCCACGCAAACCAGAGATATGTTGGTGGCGTGATGTTGGGTTCTGTTGCTATGGTTTACCAGAAACCGAACTATAGACATAAGCCGCCCCCAATTGTTGGTTTGTTTTTGTTTTTCTTAAGGACTCGGTATGGCCACCTCCAGCTGGCCATCGAGAGCTCCGCTGACGATGCGCGTGCTTTCCTGGCTGCGCGGTTCGCGGACGAGCCGCAGGTCGGACCGCAGCAACTCGCGGCCCAGCTGGTCTACAGGCACCGGTTGGAGACCTTGTACGCCGTGCCTGCCCATGTGAACCACTTCAAGCTGTTGCCGCACACAGACGTCAAGCAGCCAAGTGCGCAGCTGCTGGTGCGGAACCTGCAATCGCACCCGGTGCTCAAGCAGTCGCTGGCCACCACGACCGTGGTGATGCCCGCGGACCCGTTTTTCACCGCCTTGCAGACGGCGGGCGCCCAGATCGTGAACCGTGGGTTTCAGGACGCGGAGATGGCAGGCATTGTGCTTCTGATAATGATTCAGATGTTCTCCCGCCGCGTCCCTTTCGTCAGGTACGCGTCTGGGATGCTCGCGCAGAATCTGATCACGTGCGGGAGCATCGTAGAAGCCCTTCTGTTAGCAGTTCCCAACAACAAGAGCTTGGTGACGGCCGGTGCCACGACCCAGGGGGTTCCGAAAACTCGTTCGCTCACGTACGACCTCTCCACGTTCACTGTGGGGAAAACGGTGTCGGGGACAGCAATCGCGCGATTTTCCAGCTTCGGTTAGAGACCTCCTCGGGGCTCCCTGGCGGCTCTTGGGATCTGAAGAAAGCATTCAGAAGCCGGCCGGGGGGCGCCCTTAGGCTCTCGCACGCACTTATCGCAAACGCTGCTCTGCGATAGGTGTGCACAGGTGGCGTCCCGCGGCTTTCTCGGGCTCTCCCGAGGTCCTGCTGGGGCCTCCACGGAATTGTCTGGAGGTTATTCTGGGGTCAGACGGGCATTCAAAAACGAATTGGCGGGGGCCTGGCCCCGCGCGCTCTCATCGCAAGCGATGCTTTGCGACAGGTTCGCCCGGGCAGCATCCCATGGCTTTCCGGAGCTGTCCTGAGGTCCTGTCGTAGTTTTCCTCGGAGCTCCGCGGCGGTTGTTTTGGAAGTCCCAGAAGGCATTCATGAGGCAGCCGGGGTGTCTTAACAGGCCCCCGCGCACACTTATCGCAAACACTGTTTTGCGATAGGTGTGCCCCTGGGACATCCTGGGGCGTTCGCTTGCCTCCTCGGGGTCTCTGGCGGCCTCCTCAAGGCTCAGAAAGCGATTCAAAAGCTAGTCGGGTGACAGCGCCAAGCCCCCGCGCGCTGATCGCGAAGGTTGTTTTGCGTCAGGCGCGCTCTGCGGTCTCTTGATGCGTTCCGGAGCCTCTCCTGGAGCCCCCTCAGCGTCCTGCGGAGGCTTCCTGTGGAGCCCTGGCCAAGCCAGGTGGTTTCGACCGCCGAACATAGTTTTCAGCCGGGCCTGCGGCGGCTTGGCCGCGGCACTGGCTTTCTTCATCCCTGCGTAGGTGTGCAGGCTCGCCCACCATATCACGCGGTGGCCGCAGCTGCAGAGGGACAACGCTGGGCGGATTCAGCTGCACGCCGACCGAGTGTCCGAGCTTCTCGGCCCGCTCTTGTCCGCCCACGCCGTGCGGGACACGGGGTACCTCAGCGCGTACAGCGGGGTCGTCGGGGGTTAATGGAGCCTCGACCAGCCAAGTCATTTCGCGATTCATTTTGGCGGACTTTCACCCGCCGTTTTGGATGCCTGGGTAGCCCATGCGATCTTCATGCATTTACGAAGTTTCGCGCTGCTCCTGCTCCTCCAGGGAGGCCCCATCAGGAATTTTCTCGGTCGCGGGCTCGGGGGGGGACCCTCGCCAGCCGCGGTGTGGCGGGGCTTCTTTGGAGTGGCGGGGGGGCGCCTTACTGCGTGAATATGCGTTTCCAATGTACCGCTCGCTCTGGCGGGGCTTCCGTGGAGGGGCGGCAGGGGCGCCAAACTCTAATGAACGATATGGCGTTCGAATGCCTTCTCGTTCTGGTGGGGCTTCCCTGGATAGTACGATAGGGGTGCGAAACATCGTAGATACATAAGATTGCATCATCCATAGAGGGTGCTTGGCTGGGAAAGTCTCTACCCACCCTGAGGTCGTCGCGGTCGATGGCGAGGCCATCTTGATAACGTCATCCGCGTCATCAGCGAAGGCTAACTTGCATTTCAAGTGCTTCGCCGATGAAGCTCCGAATTTATGGCAGGTCGTCAGCCAGGAGTGGGCCGACGTGATGAGATCTATGCGGCGGGCAGGGTTGACCCCGGCCCAGGTTGCAGATTGTGAGATGATCGAAGGTGCCCTCACAGCCGCGGCCGCTTACAGCACGAGCTGCAAGACAATGAAGCGAATGGCCGCCGTGCTGGTCAAGAGCCAGCTGCGCAAGCTGCTGCACGTGCGCGGCCCCAGGACCCCGCAGCCTCTCGCGGATGCTCTTCAGGCAGTGGAGCAGATCCAGCTTGCCGCGTAGCAATGGCCGTCCACATAGGTCCTTGTTGCCATGCAGAACTAGCAGTTCTGTCGTGCGTTCCGGCCCTGCCTCTCCGACGACGAAGCCCTGGCAATGCTAGGGCGCGGACCCCGCCCGCGCTACGGCCCGCGCGCATCAAAAATAGTAGAAGGAGGAGAAGCATGAGGAGGAATCGGAGGAGGAGAAGGAGGAGGAGGAGCATGAGGGAAAAGGAGATGAATGAGACGGGCGCGGAGAGATGAGGAGCATGATGTTCATGCTGAGGGTGATGGCGATGCTGAGACTGACGTTGCTGATGATGATGCGTACGATGATAGTCGTGATGACGATGATAATGTTGATGATGATGATTAAGATGGTAACTGTTATAATGATGCTGATGCTGATGCTGATGACGATCAGGGTCTCGAATTCCTCTTGGGCTCCCTTTGGAACCTTCTTGAGCGTCTTGGAGCTATCTAGGGGGGCCCTCTCGAGCCCTGAGAGGGTCCTAGGAGTTTCCCCACGGGGCTTTGGCAGGCCCCAAGAGGCCCCAAGGGAACTACAAGATGACTCCAAGAGGGCTCCAATAGAATCCCAGGAAGTCCGAAGTATTCGGGGGAAGCATTGCCGCGCTTTCCCAGAATAGTTTCGGCTCTCGTGGAGCCCTCTTGGGGCTTTCCTCGGGCCTTCTTGAGGCTCTTTTGGAGCCCCCTTGGGGCTGTCTCTGGCCTTAAGAAGATTCCAAGAGGGCTCTCGGACAATTTCCGCAGGCTTCAAGAGGCATCAAGAGGGCTCCAAGAGAACCCAAAGAGCGTTCCAAGGGGACCCCAGGTGCTTCAGCCTCAGGAAACCTGAAATTATTCAGGGGAAGCACCGCCGCGCTTTCCCGGAATAGTTTGGGCCCTCTTGGTGCGTTCTTGGGGATCTCTTGAAGCCTCTGTGGGACCCTCTTGTTGTTCTCTTGGAGCCTTCTTGGGTTCCTCTTGAAGCCCCTAAAGCTCTCTCGAAACCTTTGGAGAGGTTCCGACGGAAGAGCTTCACAGTCATGGACCTCATCTGGTCAGTTTTTGGGTTCTTCAGTGCTCCTGAGGGGCGCAGTCTTGGGATGCCCTTGGGACCTTCTTGAGCCCGGGGTCCTGCTGGAGCCTTCTCTGGGTTGCCCGATGGCTCCCAAGAGGTTGACAAGGGCACTGCACACCGAGCCAGGGAGCATCCCGTGGCGTTCTAAAGCTCTTGAGGCCTTGCTAGAGCGTCCTTTTGACCTCTCCGGCGGCTGTCTTCGGCCCCAGAATAGTCCTTGAGAACCAACAGGAGAGGGCTTGAGAGACCTCCGCGCGCACCTATCGCAAACGCTGCTTTGCGATAGGTGTGCCCGATAGGCATCCCGTAGCCGTCTTGAGCTCCTCCGAGGTTCCGCGGGAACCTCCGCCAGGCTTTCCGATTGTCCCTCAAGGTTCCAACGGGCATCCAGAGACCGACCCGAGGTTCCTGCTAAGCAACCGACCGCTGATCGCACACCCACCAGAGTATCCCAAATAACCCAAACATTGATCGGCCTCCCGGGACCTTCCAGGGCCACTGGGGCCTCTCGCTGCCTTCTGGAACCCACTCGGGGCTTCTTAGGATATCCACGGAGTTCCCGGGGATTCCTGGGGCATCCTGGCATGCTGGAGCCTCCTGGGCCCCTCTGGAAGCCGCAGCCCCTTCCAAAAACAAATTTGTCTCGCCGTTGCGATGTGTCGATTGCCGTTCGCTTCGCCGGCTCAGGACTCTAGCAAACGTGGCTTGGCATTGCCGGCCTGTTTTCACTTCCCCGCTCTTTCCCTGATCGTGGATCAGCATTGCTGTCCTGTGATCTCCCTGTTGCATTTCGCTGTCATGTCTGTCGACGAACAGAGCGCTGCTGGCACCCAGCCCATGAGCCAATATTCGGCTAATTTGGGTGATACCATACAGCAGGCGACGGCGCCGCCTTCGCCAATCCAGCGCGGCGGACCGCCTGAAGATCCTGGCGAAGATATGTGCGCGCGCGTGATCACCATTTCAACGAACCCTCCCGCTGCCCTGCCGCACGTTCCAGCCGATACCGTAGGGGTGGTACCTGCCGACACGCTGTGTCTGTATCACTGTTGCAATGCTGCCGCAGATTTGTATTCGTGGATGCGCGGCAGACGGGCGCCTGGTTACGCAGAAGATCGGCGCAGAGTTTGCGCGGACGAGGCGAACGCCAAGCAGCTCCGGGATCGCGTCGCGCAGATGGCGCGCGACGCAGGAGATGAAGCCACTGCTAGCAGACTGCTGAAGACCGGGCGAGAAGCTTACCCGGGCTTCGACGAAATGAATTATTTCTGCGAGGTCTTGGGCGGGCAGATCGTTGTCGAGCACTACGAGGACACGAATAACTCTGTTCAGAGCGTTTACGGCGACGGCCCGTTGGTAGCGCTTTTTCGGCTGCACAAGCAGTCCGGTGACGGTGGGCACGTGGTCGATCATTGGTCTTGCTTGCAGAGTTGGATTCCGCGAGCCCCAGGAGTCGCCGCGCACGAGAGCGAGCTCGAGGATGCGCCCGCCGATCCGGTCGCCGACAACAGCTCCATGCAGCGACGATTGAAGCTTCCAGGCGCTGCTACATGCAATGCGGAATTCGACGAATTCCTTATGGACGTAGACAGCGAGCGGAGCTGGCTGGAAGGTTTAGAGGCAGACCCTGACCCGCCTGCTCAGAGCATACTCGTGCAGACGGAGGCGGTGAAGGCATTCATAGAGAAGCATCACGCATCATGGGATCCGTACCTGAAGCGGATTGCCCTCGGAGCGCTGGCCATGTATCGATGTCGACTATCCGATATCTACGTCCGAGAGTACGTCATGATGATGCACATCATATTTGGCGGTGACTACCTCGTCGCCCATGACGGGGTCATGTATTTTTGGGATGGGAATATGAGGTTCTTCGAGAAGTACGAGGGTCTCATGCCAGAGATTGTCTATGCTGCTCTGAAAGAGTACCTCTTGACTTTGGCAGGGCTTTTCTGGTCTTTCACAGGCGAGGTTCGGCGGGGCGACGAGACCGCGATGCTCGCCATCGAGGGGTCGTTGGAGAAGAGTGGGCTGGATGCTCGGAAGGCGTTCGCCGCGTGGCGCGACAACGCCATCTTCAACAAAGGAGGCAAAGGCGGTGGCAAGGGCCAGGGCGGCGGCATGGGAGGCGCGGGAGACTCTGCAGTTGAACTCGAAGCTCTCACGCAGATGGAGCCCCACGAACTGGATGGCGATGTGCCTGCGCCTGCGCCGGCGGACGAAGGCGTCGCGCGCGGCGCGCCGTGGTACATAACGATCGCAGTGAGCGTTGCTCGAGTTGGACGAAGCTTACAGATACAGATGATTCAGAACAAGTTGCCGACGTTTTACTGCGAGTGGTGCGAGACTCCGCGCCCCTCGCGCAGGGGCGTCGCCCGCCCCGACATCGCGTTCGTCTACGACCAGGGCGGAACCCCGATCCAGCAGATCGCGACGGAGAGTGAACGCAAGAGCATATACATCGGCATACCGCACAAAATCAAAGCTTACTTGGGCGACCCAGTGTTGAAGGCGGCCGCGACGAGAGTGGACCAGTTCTACAGGCAGACATTCTGGGCAAATGCCGCCGCGCACAAAGTGTGCATGGCCGCCCTCGCTCTGGCGAAGAGAGGGTTGAACGTCGACCAGCTGTTCTTCTTCTGGGGGGCCGGCGGCGTCGGGCTCTCCCTGACGACGGCCCACCTCGACGCCATGCTCGGGCACTCCAACCACAAGCATTTTGACCCGCAGGTGTTCTATCTGGACGAGGAGATGCGGAAGACGGTGGAGTCGCTCAAAGGCACGATCGTGCTCACGGCGCAGGAGAAGCCAGAAGGCTTGAGGAAGAGCTCCCGGGAGGACTTGTTCAAGAAGCTGGCGTCTGCCGACGGCATATTTGGTAGACTCCCGTATCAGATTTTGACAAAAGTTATTTACTTGGTCGGGTGGAAACGCATGGAGCTGAACAAGCTCATCACCTTCGACGGAGTCTCTGAGGGTGCATTCCACGCCATCTACCGGAGGTCTCTTCTGATAAAGGTTTGGGCTCGGTTCGTTGATGCGGAGTGCATCAGGCGCGTCCTGCCGGACGCAGAGAAGTACGGCATCTTCCCGCGGGCGCCGGATTTGAAGCCGTTCATGCAGTCGGGGCCCGCCATCGCCGCTGGTCTGCAACGACAGCTGGGCTTCGAACGGAAACATGGCGAAGCGGCATCGAGGTCGTTGATAGATGACTACTGCCTGCGCGGAGGGGATAGCGGGATCACGGAGAAATACATGCGACAGGCGTGTCTTCTCCCGGAACCGAGCCAGCCGAAGCCTAGCGGCCAGAGCAGCGCGGCTGCCCCGCCGCCCGGCGTCGACTTCGACATCGGAGCGGGCGGCTCGCAGGATGCGGTGGCGCCCATGGATTCCTTGCGCCGCCACCTACTCCAGCAGATGCTCGACCGGAGGTTCGACGCCCTGACATTCTCGTATTACAAGCAGCTCCATACAGTGCAGATCCAAGGCTTGCCTGAAAAGAAAGCAACAGTGTGGCAAGCGATGGCCTCCGCCGGATGGTCACAAAGCTGGGTCGCAAGGCAAGGCGAAGGAGAGACTCCTGCCGAAATTGTCCTTCGCTCGCAAGTTCATCGACATCGTGCCGACGCCAGACTTGGAGGAGCCGACCGTGCTCCCAGAACAGTGGGACCGCGCGGCGCTGCTGCGCTATGCGAACGGCCACGCCTGCCGCAAGCGCAACGCCGAGACCATGGTGGCGGTGCTAGGGTCCGTGGCAAAGCCGCGCGGGCGGAAAAGCCGCGCAGGTTCCGTCGAGGCGGGCGGCGACGCTCATCTGCGCGAGGTCGGCATGTCCGTCCAGGCGGCGGAGGCAACTCTGGAAGCGATGCTGGAGAGCGCGCGCGAGAGGCCGACGGTGACCACCGCCGATCAACCAGGCGGGGTGAAGAGGAGGAGGCTCCCTCCGAAGAGGGCCGTGAGCGGCGGCAGCGACTTGGCGGAGCGCAGGATCCCTTACAAATGCAAGCGCACTGCGGCCCGTCGCTTCGCGGATGTCCCGGCAGCGCAGGGCTGCCCGGCCCGCGTGCTACATCCGATGTTGCAGGGCACTGTAGATCTCGACATCCACAGCGCGGTTCTGACAATCGCCTGGCAACTCGTGGAGAAGATGGACATGGCGGAGAAGAATCTGTTCAGAGAGGAGTTGGAATTGTTGAAGCAGCTGGCCGAGGACAGAGACGAGGTAATGCAGAAGGAGTTGGCGAGCATGGGGCACCAGGCGGCCAAGCGCTTCGTGCTCGAGACCATCGGCGGGTCCGGCGCTTTCGACGTCGACGCCGAGCCCTTCGCCAAAAAGTTGCAGCGCGTCAGCCGCGTGCTGCGTTGGGTGGCGTGCTCTGCGCTGCCCGATGTATACGAAGACTTTTCCAGCGACGCCGAGCTTCGCGACGACAAGAAAAAAGAGAAATGGCCGGAGGGGCAGACGTTCTCCACTTTCTACCAGCGCGCAGAGGATTACATTCTCCGCCAGTGGCAGACGTGGGTGCTCATGCAGCCGGTGATGCATTTATCGCTGCACTTCGACGGCGTGAGGATCAACAGGGACGCGGTGTTCGCCAGGCATACCACGGTGGCGGACTACGCCGCTGGAGCCAGTGCCTACATCGCGCAGGAAACAGGCTTCGTCGTAAAGATCAAAGAGAAGACCCATCCGACGGTCGAAGAGGCGCTGATAAGCTGCACGGCGTGGCGGCCCCTGGAGGCGGCCGCAGCGCCTGGCGACTTGCAGAAGCCTGGCAATGGTATCCTGTTGGCGCTGTGGCGGTGCGGCGACGCCAGGGCGTCCGCGTCCGTTCTCTCTCTCGCAGGCGCCTCGTCAGTAGAGAACAATGCCGCCAGCGTCGAGAAAGGGAGAACTTACGGGGAGTGTTGCCTGAGTCACAAGGTTTCGGTGGCGCCCCATTTAGGTTTCGATGCGCGCGAGGACGGGCATTATCTGCTCCACTTGGGATGGAGACGGATCGCCGTCTTGCGCACTCCTGCACGTGGCGACCGCGCTCGACAAGGTGTCGGTTTATTTTAAAGATCATGCTGGAGAGGTGGGTTTGCCAGATGTCCATGACGCCGTCCTCGCGGGGCGAGACTCGAGGCTAGCAGTCGCGTTTCGCATCGATTTGTGCCCGGCGGCGCAGGGGGCCGCCGAAGGCGGCGACGACTCCAGCCCCTTGGCAGGGCTCTCGGGCTTGATGGCGTGAGGCGCCGCCGAGCGGGCTGAGCTGTCAGTTAGTAGCAGCGACTGCGGGAGGCAGAAAACAGGTCAGTCCTCAATGTATCTCGATTGCTCGCGTGGATTCCCATGTGCTTGACCAGATGAAAAGTTATTCTCTCCGAATCAAGTTTGGGGCATAGATTTAAATATAAGATAAACAGATATATTATGGTCGCAGCGTGAGCCAGGGCCCCCAACTAGTCTGTTAGTTAGCCCGCGTGGATGAGCGAGCGCTGGTCGCAGGGACACTCAGGACACAGAGCCACTGCGGGAACGGATGGGGATCGGCGCATTCAGTTTCACAGCGCCAGCTATTCATTGGCAGTTCAGTCGCGTACTCTTCCGTTCGCACCCCGATCTTTGCAGAGGTATCTGCGCGCCTTCTGAGACGCCACTCGCCGCGTCGGCTCAAGGCATATCTTGTACGTGGGTCGGCTTTGCCGCCCTGTGCTCTCCTCGCTTTGCATTTACCCGTATTTCTCTGTGGGTCGGCCTTGCCGCCCTGGCACCTCATCGCCTCGCCGCGCGCTACCTGGCATGTGCGATGCTCTCGCGGTTGTCGAAGACGCCGACCCGCGCGGAAGGCGAATCCGATGTGTTTCCGGGGTCAAGCGGTCCATCGAGTATCCAGCTCCTGAGCAGCACTGGCGAGCTGGTAGATGACGAGAGGCCCGCGACACCAGACCCCTACCTGCCTGACGTCAGCAAGCGGCAGTGGGAGGCCAAAGTTGTGGCCTGGCGCAGGGAGATGTCACAACTGCTTGACGCAGTGCCAATTGGTGCGACGGAATTGGCAGCGGCCGAAGAGCTCGGCGTCTGGGTAGAGCCCTCGCCGCCCGCCGTGCGCGGCTGTCGAGCTCTCCTGCAATATGGAAACTGCATACTGCTTGCATACAGCATCCTGACGCAAGACTTCTGCGGATCGACCGACTATTGTGCGCGATTTCCCGTTCGTCGAGGCGCGGAGCGCCGCTACGCCGACGTCGCCGACCACTTCGGCTTCTCTCTGGCCGTCGCGCGCCAGCAGGCTTCGCGGCAGGGTGCATGCCCACTCGTGCCCGGAAAGTATTTCTGTCATATGCGGAGGCATTGCTGCGCTGCGGCAGTCCTTTCAGGGGCAGATTCGGTTGTCGTGTGGAGAGGTTTCAGCAGGCACGTTCTGCCGACGGCACAGCGGGTGCGCCGCGTCGAGGAAGTCGAGGGCGCGCTGTTGCACATAACTTACAGCGGTGAGGGCGCACTCGGCGTCGATTTAACAGCTGGGCGGAAATCCTGAAGACCGCGGCCGGCAGTTTTCCCCCGAGATGCGCTCGCGCCGCCCCGGGTGATAAATGCATCACATCCAGAGAGGGATAGTGTTGACAAGGAGTAAAGCGAATAGGGTTACATAATGATATCACGAGATAGAATACGATATCAAATATATTCTCTCGTAATTACCTGAACATCGAGGCCACCTTCCACTCGCCGTCGCGATTCGTCGATGGCCGCTCGCTTCATCGGCTCAGGATTCTAGCAAACGTGGCTCGGCATTGCCGGCCTGTTTTGATTTCTCCGCTTTTTCCCTGATTGTGGATCAGCATTGCTGTCCTGTAACCCTTCTGTCGCATTTCGTGTCATGGCCGCCGACGACCAGCGCGTTTCTGCCACCCATGCGTGCCTCAGCTTGGCTCTGAACGCATTGGGAGCACACGTGCCGACCAGCGTGCGAGGCCCATTCCGCGCGCTCGAGCATGGGAACCAATGGCTGTCACATCTCGGCTTCGCCCTGATCCGGCAGCCGCGGGGTCCGACTGGTCCAGGGCGTTACGTCAAGTGGGAGCCGCCGCGGCGCGAAGCTGGATTGGCCGCGAGCGTGGGCCACTTCGCGGCCGTCATCCTGCGGCCCGGCAGCGCCACTGTGATAGACCGCCGAGCAGGTCTGCCAGCGGTTCGCGAGTGGTTGGCGTGGGGCGACATTCCGGACGTCGAGGAGCACAAGTGGTTCTTGTTGGTGGAGCTCGGCGCGCGGAGGCCGGGGCCCGAGGGCGGCCGCCCTCTTCCATGGGGCGCGACTTCTGGAATTATCGAAGCTCATAGGCTGGACGCACTCATCCGTCGGCGCGCGGCTCGCGAACGAGCGACCCCCTATGGGCTGGCGTCGTCGTCGGGCTCGCTCGCGCCGCTGGAGGCTGCCCGGGTATCAGCGAACCGAGAGGAGGCAATGCGGCGCAGAGCTTCGCGTCTGTTCTGCCCGTTGCCGCCGGTGGGGTGGCCCGGCACTCAGGTGCCCCAAGTCCCGTGCGATTTCTCCCTCGAGCTGCCGCGTCTTCCGAAGATCCGCTTGCTCGAGCGACTCAACGCTCACCCTCGGGACTCCCAGTTGCACTTCGTCGAAGAGTCGCACGCCTATTACATTAGCGGCGCGCGAACGCATGGGTCGGTCACGGGATTGATACATGAGTACTGCAGTGTTTTCGACGCTGGCGCTGTGATTGGGAAGATGCGGAGCGGGCGGAACTGGCCGCGACCTGATTATTTGCGCCACCCTCGCCCGGAAGACGTGGTCGCGGAGCTGCGGGCCACGGCGGAGGCTGCTCGCTTGCACGAGTTACTTGTTTCGCACGGGGCTTGCGACGCCGAGATCTGCGCCGAGATGAAGGCAACTGCGAGAGCGGCCCCCCACTTGGCAAACCATCTGGAAAGTCTATCTCTCTCGGATCACGAGATCGTGGAGAAATGGCGCCTGAACAAAGAAGAGGCGGCTAGGCGGGGCACCTGGATGCACTGGACGTTCGAGGCCCACCTCAACCGCGTTCCGGTGCCCCGCGATGCCGTCGAGTTCCAGTTGTTCTTGAAATTCTTGGGGGCGCTGAAAGGTCTGGTGGCTTTCCGCACCGAGTGGGCCATCTTCGCCGAGCACGAGGGGCTCGCTGGGTCAATCGACTTCGTGGCTCGAGACTCTGCGGGCAGCCTGTACATATACGATTGGAAGCGGGCGAAGAATTTACGTTCGAAGTTCACGAACCCATGGGGGAATATGAAGTTTCCATTAAGCCGATTGTCAGACTGCCAGGGAAATCATTACCGGGTGCAGCTTAACATCTACAGGTGGATGTTGGAACATTACTACGGCGCCCGCGTGGCCGCGATGTATGTGGTCTGCCTTCATCCGGACAACGGCGACCAGCCATTTGTGGACGACGTGCCGGTGATCCCAGAGATCGAGGAGCTCATGGCCATTCAACGCACGAGGTCCCGAGAGTTGCGGGCAATGGCGTCGGAAGACACCCGTGAGATAGACCCTCTGGGCGGCTGGCCGCGGCCAGTCGTGGCGGCGCGCATGCCTTATTGCCTGAGCACCGCGGCCAATTTCGATCGCGCCTTTCGCCAGATGTCAGTGGACGTCGCGCACTGGCGTTGCCGTTGCGATTGTGCGCCGTTCTCTTGAGGTGCCGTTGCCATTGCCGAATGCCAACTGGCAGCGGATGAAAATGGCGCGCGTGGGCTCTGCGGGAGCCACGCTGACAGCCGCGTGCTCTCAACTTCCGCAGAAGTAGCGATGCCCTCGCATGAAGGAGTGCGTGGATGCGACGCTTGCGTAGCCAAAAAAAGAAATTGTTATGTGTATCAACAACAGCCGAAGCGGAGAGGGGCACCCAGAGATATCATATATCCCATGCCATCATTGCAAAGAGTAAATGCCGACGCAAGTTGCGCTACCCAACAGGCGACGCGCGCAAAGTCCGCTCGGGAGTAGCATGGAATATGATTTTTCCCCAGCTCGCGTTTCGGCGATGCGCGGGGGGAAAAATCAGCGCGGCCGTTCGCTTCATCGGCTCAGGATTTCAGCAAACGTGGCTCGGCATTGTCGGCCTGCTTTGACTTCCCCGCTCTTTCCCTGATTGTGGATCAGCATTGCTGTCCTGTGATCTCTCTGACGTGCCTCGGCGCCATGGCCACCGACGACCAGCGCGCTGCCAGTTCTCCATTTCTGAGCTCGCAGTCCCCTGAGGTGGGCGTCCCGACGCCTGGCGGGAGGGCTCGCCAGCGGCGCGCGTACTCTGGCGCCCGCTCGCTGACGCCGGCGCGCAGGAAGCTTCGACTGTCCTCGCGGGCTGCGCGCGCGGCTGCAGCGCGAACACCTTCATCGTCTCCGGAAAGAGACGACGCCGCTGACATCGAGACTTTCGCGCTGATGGTATCGAAGATCTCAAATGAAGCATTCGATTCTATTATGACATGCTTCCCTTCCTTGCGGAGACGGGCATTAGCGCGTGTTTTCGCACTGGATCAACAGATTCGCCAAGACAAAACGTTCATCCTCGTGAAACCTTTCAGTTCGAGCGGGCCCAGGGCCTCGCGTGGCCCGCACGGTGCCGGACTGCCCGGAGTCCTCGCTGTTGTGCCTTGCTGGTTTCAGCCTGCCAACGCAGAACTTGCCTCGGTGACAGCCCCCAGCCCTGTTCACGATCGCTGTTTCCTTTGCGGGATGGACGATGGCGACGTCGACGGCATCGGCCACTATCTGGAAGGGTGCGTGGCCACGGTGAGATCATTTCCGTTCCCCGAATTGATGCATTTGCGCGCAACGACCTCCGCGTGGGCCATGTTGGCGCAGCGATTGAAACCTCACGGCGACGTCTTCGCATGCGCGCGGTGCAGCGGAGTCTGCGTCGCCTGGGAAGACACCCTGAACATAGATTTCACCGCCGATATGCTCAGACTGCACCGGCGACACGCGGCTGAAGAGCAAGCAGGGACGTCGGCCGACTCGCGCCCGCGACTGGACTAGGGGGGGTGCGGCGGCGCTGACGCCATTGCGCGGCCCTCAGTCGAGAGCGGGCCGTGACTTCCGATCGAACCTTTGCGTAGACAAAGTCGCGACTTCTCAATCATCTCAATATTTTCTCCTCGCCTTCACACGTGCCCAACGTGGCGCGGGGCCTTCATGTCGCTCGATATCCCCCATTGCCTAGCTCTTACATATTCGACGGCAGCGCCGCTGATGGATCGTTGCCTATCTCTTCATCACCCTACGGCTCAAGACATGCATTCCCCGTGGGTCGGCTCTGCCGCCCTGTGTTTTCTCTGCCATCTCACCCGTGGGTCGGCCTTGCCGCCCTGTTTTGTTTTCTCCTACCACCTTTCTGCGCTATCTCACATGCGCGGCGCGCCCGCTCGCCAGGAGCAGGACGGTGCCAGGCTCGCGCCGGCGCCGGCTCGGAGACGAATCAGAAGCAAGAGCACGGCGGACGACGTCGGCGAGGGCTGGGTTTGCCTCGCGGCCGAGCAGCGCCAGCCCCACGAGCTCGCGGACGTGGGCTCGGCGGATGCACCTGAATCCCCGAGCGGCGACGAGGGCGAAACAGCAGTGCGCGCAGAGTTGTTCGAGTGCCTGGAAAAGGAAGTCAAGAGTTACGCTGCGGGGGTGACGCTCCTGCGCCCCAAGCGGGACAGCGAGGGCGTCAAACTGAAATTTGCTTGCGGCCTGTGCCCGTTCCGATCGTTCACGACGCAGGCGCTCTTGGCCGCGCACGTCTCCAAGTACCACCTCAGAAAGACGCGCTTCGTGGCCTCGGGCACGAAGCAGTTCAATGTCGTGTGCGCGTTGTTCGACAACGACCGGCTCCTGCGAGCCCCAACAGGGAACCTGCTGAAGCGATCTGCGACGATCCTGCGGGAGACAGTATCTCCTGCTGTTCATCGCGGACAGAACGCCATTGACAAGGACATCGTCCTGGTCCTCGACGACGACGGGCCGTCGCATCAAAACAAGGCAGCAGTCGGGCAAAATCTCGCGTGCAGACGAGTGGGGTACACATACTATACCCGTGGCTTCGCCGATATCCTGTTGCAGGAGTCCTTGCGCCATCATGGGCGCGTTCGCCCGACGATGCTGCGGACGTGCGCTCGCGTCGTGGAGCAGGGCTCCGAGCTGAGCAGCATGTTGCCGACGCGCGTTGATCACTGGCTGAAGCTTATGGAAGACGCGTTCAACAGCGCGCACGTAGAGAGGCGCAGCACTGCGTTGATGGAAGAATGCCACCGGCATGAGGAATTCCTCCACGTCTCCATGGACGCCACTATCCGAATTCTGCGCAGGGTCAAGGGCCAGGCGGATTATCGGTCCGCACAAGCAGTGCGCGACGCTGCACCCGTGCCGGACGTGGACGCCAAGCGCCGCGTCCTGACTCTCGCGGGCAGGACGGGCGCGGCGCTCGGTGTTTTCCTGACGAAGGACGAAGGCGCTGATGAAATAGCTGAGGCCATTGCAGCTCGTTGGTCGGCGGCGTGCAGATTGCAGACGGCGTCCGTCGCCAGTGACCAGCCGAGCAGCGCGCTATTCCGCGCCTTGCGAGGTTCATGTTTTCCTGGACTATCAGTCTTGAGTCTCGACCCAGTTCATCTGCCCATCACGTACGAGGAGACGCACTGGAGAAAAAAGACGGTGGGATCGCGACTATTGCGGATTCTAATGGCCAAGTTTACGAAGGTGGATTGCACGCTACCCGCGCAATACTGGGGGGCGCCGTTCGACGGGACGAACGCCCCAGCTCTGCGGCCAATAGAAGAGCGCGCGCGAGCACAGATACTCGATCATTCATTCGCGAAGTCGCGAGCTCAACATGTGATCGACCACGTGAACGCCGAGCTGCCATGGAAAACAACGCATGAGTTCATCGAGTCTATCGCCGCGCTGAGCGCGTT